CTGGCATTTGCCCAGAAAAAACAATGTGCATCCTTACTTTACTTATACATCTGTACTCCTATTTTCCTCTATACTAGGTGCTTTCTCTATGCTCTTAAATATTATAATTTTATGTAGTATGTTCTGCTTTGTTTTAAATTTATGTAAATGGTACTTAATTAAAATCTCATTTTGTTTTTTCTTTTCTCTCAACTGTATATTTATTTTAAACCTTACCCAGTTTTAAAGATCTTGTCATTGTGTACTTCTACCTGCCGCTCTCGTATTCCACAGCATACCATCACTCGTTTTAGCTAGGCTGCCTCCAAATCCCCACTACCAGCAACAATGCAGCTACAAAGCTTGTATCTTCAGGGACCTGCATAAAAATTCCCCTGAGTGCTGGGTCAGAGGGATTAAACAATTCCTGATTTCGGTGACACCGACTGGTTTATAGAATGGCAGTTCTAGTGAACACTCCCACCACTGGTTCATAACGCTTCTCCTACAACACTTCAAAACTCTGTATTAGCTATCTTTTACATTTTTGTCATTTTGGTGGCTGTTAGGTTGTACCTCGTGCGTCAAGCTTTCTGATTACAAGTGAGTTTGTATATCTCTTCATCTGCCTGTCAGCAATGGAGCTTCCCCTTCTTTAAACTCTTCATATCTTTCAGTTATTTTTTAAAAGATTTTTGCTTTGTTTCTGTTCATTTCTAAAAGTTCTTTGTACATTAAGGTATTATTCTCATGTAGGTTTTAGATATTAAAAAAACTGACACTTGACTTTTTACTTCATTTATGGTTCCTTTAACAGAAATACTTAATTTTGATGTAAGCAAACCCACTAATTTTCACATTATGTTCTCTGATTCTTAAAATATAGATATTTCCTGAAATTTCTTATTAGCTTTAAAGTTTTACATTTCATATTTGAGTATTCCTTCTGGAGTAGGTCTTTATAAATAATGTGTAAGCTGGTGATCCTGTTTTTCTCCAAACAGCTAGTTTTCCTAATAAAATCTAAGCATCTACCTGCTTTAAGCAACCTGTTTCTCATTGACTAGTGGTGCCACTTACCAAGTTCTCATATTTACATGAGCGTTTTTTTTTGAGCTCATTAATTTATTCCAGTGTATTTGCCTTTCTTTTGTTAGCATCTTTTTGTTAGCATTATGGCTTTGTAGCAATTCTCACTATGTAGTAAGCTCAGAGCTTCCTTCCTCTTCTTTGTCAAAAGTGACTTAGCTAATCCTGGACCTTTACTGGGATATGTTAATTTTAGAATGAGTTTGTGAAGTTTCTCAAAAAACAAAACAAAACAAAACAAAACAAAACTCAGGATAGAATTTTTAACAGGAGTCAGTGACAGGATAGATTTCAAGAAACAGGCATCATCAGATTAAAGCACATAGTACATGATAATCCTTTGTCTTCTAATAGGTTAGTTATTTACCATGAAGGTTTTATGCATTCCTAATTAGGTTAATTTTTGTTATACTATTTTCTGATTGGGTTACTTATGGAGTATATACTAATGATATTTGCAGGGGTCAGGAACCTATGGCTCACAAGCTAATTCCAGTTTGCCAAATTTTTCTGTAAATAAAGTTTTACTGGAATACAGCCATAAACGTTTGTTGATATAATGTCTATGGCTGCTTTCAAGCTCTACTGGCAGAGTTATAGTTAAGTCAGAGACCATATGGCTCACAAGCTAAAATATCTAGTTCTTTATTAAAAAGATTGCTGACCTCTGGGTATAAAAAACACATTAATTTTTACAAATTAATCTTAAAGAATCTTGCTGAATTTTCTCAGTTCTAATAGTCTGCTGATGGGTTTTGGGTTTTACATAGATGACTGTATCATATGCAAATAGTGAATTTTTTCTTTCACTTTCAATCTTACTTGGTTTGTGTTCAAAATTTCTCAATATAATTTTTGCTACAGACTTTGGGTATACAGACTTTATTAAGTTAGGAGAATTTCCTTTTATTCTTAGTTTTCTGAGAGTCTTTTCCTACACTGATGCTAATTTCAAAAAACACTTTTTTTTTTTGCATTCTAATGAACTATCATTGGGCAATTTAGGACATTCTGTTATATGGTATAAGGCATATTTTATAGTAAATGGATACTAGATCATAGGCTATAGTATATAATGGATACTATATAATATACAGTAATAGACACTATAATATATATATATTATGTATGTATGTGTGTATATATATATATCATGTATATATACTATATATATATGTGTAATGTTTTCATGCTTTAACATTTGGGTTCTGTATTAAAATACTGGGTAATTCAGTGAAGAATGGAACTCTTAACTAAGCACATTTCTAGTATAGTACTTTCATTCACCAACACTTTTTATGTCTATGTTGTTAGATATTATATACGAGAAATTGTGTTTTCTCTTATAGAAGGACTGCAGCTGTTTAATAAAAATGGTATCGTGTGCTAGCAAATAGGGAAGAAAAGAAAATATATAGTTTTATCTTTCAAGTGAAAATCAATAATTTTAAGTAGAAAAGATCTCTAAATCCTTAGAACTCATGGTATTTCTTAAGGCACAAGCAACTTTGAAATTTCAAAAATTATTTAAAGCTGTTAACAAATACATAACAATCTAACTAAGCTAGAAAAAAGAACATTTATCTTGATCTAAAGACTAAAAGTAAATATTCGCAAAGAAAACATTTCTAACTTCTAAGCTTCATCAATCAAGAAATTTACAATTATCTACCATGTGCTTTCAATATCTTCTTATTCTAAGTTCTACCCTTATATTACACCCTACTAAGTGGGAGTAATAATAAAATCTAATTAATATACTTAAGTGGTCTCATAAAAAATTTAAATAAAAAAACTTCACAAGATAAAAAGGACAGAGAGCCACTCATTAAAGATGCATTTTAGTTTTAAAGATAAAAATTAAGTACCAGATCATTTTTCTCTTTTATTTGCGAGGTTAACATTTAATAAATTACTTTTAATTTATTTAAGAATCATTATTTTAAGTATTTCAAACTATAAGTTTATAATCCCTTATGAAAATTCTGAAATTTCAAAAGCTCTGAAAATGTTTAAAATATTTCACAATTCACTTGAGGGAAACCTAACCTAAACTGATATTAAACTATTTATAGTCCTTTATCCTACTTAGTGTGAATATTTGCTAAGATTAATGTATTTGGTTAAGAGAGTCCCCTTGGATTCTACAGATATACTAAAATAATAGGCACCATATTATTTCTCAAAGGTTTGAAAAGTCTAAAATTGAAATACAACTGGCACTAAGTGTTTTCGATAATGTAGTATAAAACTGATCATTCTAAAACCTTTACAAATATTTTCTCCCAATCGGTTTGTTGTGTTTTCACTCTGTTTATTGTTTCCCTTACTGTGCATAAACTTTTTAGTTTGATGTAGTCCCATTTCTCTATTGTGTTTGTTGCTTATGCTTTGGTGTCATATTCAAGAAATCACTGCCTGGACAGATGTCATGATGCTTTCCCCCTAAGGTATCTTCTAGGAGTTTTATAGATTCACGTCTTATTTTTAAATCTTTAAACCACATATTTGATAAGGGGATAATATCCAAGATATACAAGGAATTCCTACAATTCCATGGCAAAAAAACAAATAACCAGATTAAAAAGTGGGCCTAGGACTTGCATAAACATTTCTCAAAAAGAAGGCATACAAATAGTCAATAAGTACAGATGTGCAACATCAGTAATTGTTGGGGAAATGCAAATCAAAACCACAATGAGATATTACCTCATACCTATTAGGATGGTTACTATCAAAAGAACAAATGATAACAAGTGCTCACAGGATGTACAGAAATTGAAACACTAGTATAGTGTTGGTAGAAACGTATAATGATACAGCTGCAATGGAAAACAGTACAAAGGTTCCTCAAAAAATTAAAAATAGAAGTACAATCTGATCCAGAAATCTCACTTCTGGGTATATATCCAAAAGAAACGAAATCATCTCAAAGAGATATCTCCATTCCCCTGTTCACTGCAGTACAATTCCTAAGACAGGAAAACAACCTGAATGTCTATAGATGGATGAATGGATAAAGAAAATGTGGCATATACTGCAATGAAATATTATCCAGACTTTTTTAAGGAAGACTGTGTTAAGTAAGGAAATCCTGCCATATATGATAACTTGGATGAACCTGGGGGACATTCTGTTAAGTAAAATAAGCCAATTCCAGAAAGACAAAAACTGCATGATTCCACTTACATGCGGTATCTAAACTTGGTCAAATACTCATAGAAACAGAGAGTACAAGGACGGTTGCCAGGGGCTGGGGGAAGGGAGAAATGGGAAATTACTGTGCAATAGAAATAAAGTTTCAGTTATACAAGATTAAGAAATTCTAGAGATTTACTACACAACAATGTGCCTACAGTTAACAATACTGTACTGTGCACTTAAAAAATTTGTTAAGAGGGTAGATCTCAAATTAAGGGTTCTTACCATGTTCAAACAAATGTTAAAACGATTTCTAATTCTTTCATCCTTCCTTCATTGACCATCAAAAGCAATTCTTATACTCCTCTATCTCTACTTGTGCTTTTATATTCTAAAACATTTGAATAAATAAAAATATTAACTTTATGTCAGACTCCTTTTGATAGTGTTCTTTAACAGATACTTTTAAAAGAAATCACAAAAAGCTTGAAAAATAGTAAACAAAATGTTTAATAGTGATTTGATGTATTAGACAATTTAACAATATTTATAACATATGTATATTGTACCTTATTCTAAAAGAGATCCGAACTGGAAGGCTTTTTAATTATAGCATATTAATTTAAATGCAAACTTAGAAAACGTCTATAATGGAATAAAATATTTAAATATAAAGTAGGAATATATACTTGCAATGTACAATTAGGTATCTTCTATCATTCTGGATTTTGTTATCTGAAATCAAAGGCTTTAAGATCATGCAATCAGCCATAAAAAGTGGGAGCACTTACTTAGGAGCAGAAGGACCCCTGGGCCATGTTCCATCTTCATTTTTCTGTTCTATCACTAACACCTGTAAATATGACACAATAAAAGAGTGTTTTTCCTTAACTCTGAAGTTAAGATAGCTTTAGAAGATTAGGTGAATACACTAAGAAACTACAGTAACTCTGGGATTAAAGGACATAGTAGATAAGGTGAAGAGGTATTTGAATTTTGATTCCAAAGCTGGGCAATATAAATAGAATATAAATTCCTTGAGTTTAGGGAGTATATTTTCTATTTCTTTTCTATTTATAGGTTGTGACATAGTAAGTACCATGCAAAAAAAACCCAGATGCTCAATAAAAGGTCAAAGTTGTTAAACATACTGATATATAAACTTAGCTATCATTATGCAAATCCTGGATAATAGCCCCACAGATAATTCTAAATTACAGATCACACGTAATTTATTTGGGGCTTTAAAATTTGTCTTTATTTACGTTATCACTATGTAAATTATAGAATCTTTTAATGTATAAATGATAGAGTCACATTTGTGAGATTCAGACTCAAGTTCTTTATTGCAGCATGGTAAAGGCAGACAGAAATCAATTCTAATAAATGTAAAGTACAGGGCAAGGGAACTATGCTTTATTCTGAAACATGTCAGAATCCTCCCCCTTATCTGCCAGTCTAAAAAGGCTTTCTTCCAGTTTTTGCTATGGGTAAATCTGTGCAAAGAAGAAAAACTAAGCAAAAATAACTAAATTAGCAAAAGAAATATGTGATATATCAATACGTTAATAACCAAATTTCCATGGGAGAACTATAACATAGAAAACATGTCTTCAAGTAAACTCAAGCATTACAAATTGTGAATACATCCTACATAATCACCTTCAACCCTTTTTCTTGAAATTGCAATTTTGTAACCTACTCTACATACTCTCAGTAAAATACTTTTGTGGACTGTATGTTTCAGGCCATTTGTAAGCTGGCATTTGGATCCTAATAATATAAAATGTAAGCCTGTTTCAGAGCACATACAACAAACAATAAAGCATCAATAAAAAAAAAAATTAATGGAACCAGGTTGTTGAGAGTATTCTAATTAAAATATAAAAGTTATCTTTAAGTGTTAATACTTCCTACCTTCAAGGAACGTGTATGAAGTACATGTGTAGTATATAAAGAATAAGAGCACTCTACCTACTATCCTGATCTCTCCGTGATCATACTTTTCTCCCTTCCTATCATGTACAATTTATCACTCTCCTCAATTTTCTGATATCATTCCGATATAATCATATATTCATATATTTTCACAGATTTATAAAACTGAATTTAGTAATTTTTAACTCCTGAAGTTTTTCTTTACTGCAACTTATAACTCTACAGACATCTATATATGAACTACACATAGAGAGAAAACATGTCTTGGCATTACAAATTTGAATATATATATGTTTTGTTTTATATGTATACACACACACACACACACACACACATATATACACATACACATATGCACACACACACATATATATGTAAGCTTCAGTCATTTGGAAGACTTAGTTATAAAATGAAAGACTTCAGTTATAAAAATTCCAAAATTTTGCATTTAGTTATCATTGTTTATGGTTTGCTTTCCAATGGAAGGCCCTACAACTGAAGAATCAAACAAATATTTAAAGGTGAACCATAATATTTTAATTCCTAATAGTGTGTGTAGTTAAAATTTCATGTTTTACAATCAGATATTAATTTTGAAGGCCATCAGAAATGTTAATGTTCACTCCTTTATTCAAATATATTATTTTCTGAATAAAGTTTTGCTCATGGTTAAAACTTTCAAGAAGAAAACTATTTCAGAAATATTTCAAAATTGAATTAAGCTGAATGTGTGCATGCACACGTGCACACACACGCACACTCTTTTAAGGGAGAGAGATAAGAATCGCCCATTTTGGGAGGCAAACTCTTCAATTATGTATCTTTGTTTCACTTTCTGATGTTTCAGTTTACTTTCAATTTCGGTAAAAATTTTAAAAAGTCCAGGACAATGTGAGTTCACTTATCATCAGTCAGAAAATAACTGTTTACAAAATCTGGAAAATTTAAAGCATGTTGTTTGAAACATCATTATTTCAAAAGATAAATTGTTCTTAAGGATATTTAAACTTGTTAAAATAATTTATCATCAGCTGCAAGCTGATAAGTGCATTCCTATCAGGAACATCAAATTATTTAAATTGTCTAAGTCTCAGTTTTCTAGTGTACGTGATGGATGGATAACAGCCATTACATGGGCTCAATCCTGGAAAACATTTAAAGAAATGATTCCATGTGTTTCAAATTGAACTCTTGGAGTTCAAGACTTATGGATGGTAACTCAGGAGTCAAAGAGGAAATTGGCCAAGGAGGGGAGTGTTGACTAACCAACAGAGTTCCAAATTCCTTATACCACCTTCAGTCAGGTTAACTCTGCTTTTAATTATAATACATGTTAGTTTTTGTAAGATTTCCCTTAAGACTATAGCTAAAATAAGTCTGAAAATTAATGTTTTTATAGCCCAATACATGACATACAGTAGACTTTTACTAAAAATTAATTTCTTCTGTTCTGAATTTTTTAACTTGGATCAAAATACCAATGTCAATAGTTATTTTTAATAAAACAGAACAAAATAAAACCCTCCATATATCAGAGCACCAGGCTCTGTGTTAGGTACTAAAAATAAAAACAAAAATAAATAGACACAAAGTCCAACTAAAACAAGGAACTCATAGTCTAGCTGGGAAGCTCAACATATAAATAAAGTACATAACAAATGACACAAAAGACCTATACATAAATCATTATAAAGTTAAGGGAATAATTTTTTCTCCAAAGTAGAAAACTCCTATACCTGAAATAGATACTGAGAAAAATAGACCAGGAAAGGCTGAAGAGATGACGTGACATTTGAATTGGAATCTGAAGGATGAAAGATTTGATCTGGTTAGACTACATGACAAAATGGAATGGTTAATTTGACTATTTTGATGTTTAAAAGGACTTTTTGCTGGATGGATGCAGGCATTGGGAAGAAGGGTATAACAGGCAGATGGAATAACACAAATGAAAACACAGGAGTTTGGAATAGGATAGTATGCTTAGAGAACTACAAGCAGTTCGGTTTGGTACTTGTCAGAGTACAAATCACAAGGCAAGGATAATGTAAGATGCTGGAAGACTAGCAAAAAGGTCAAACCTTGACTTGCATGCCGTGTTAAGTTGCCTGGACTTTATTTAATTGTTAAGGAACCAGGAAAGGTTTATAAAAGGGAAACACTGAGGTTTTACATTTCAGAAAGAGTATTCTAACAGAAATATGAAAGACTGAGAGTGGATATGCAAAAGATTGGATGCAGAGGGATCTGTTAAGACACTACTGATAGGGCTGAGAATGGAATAGAGAGATTAATTCAAGAAATATTTAGAGGGTAGAAGCAGTAGGACTTGTTGACTGTGTCTAAACATCTTCATTTTTCAACACATTCATTTCTTTGGATTGTATCATAAAGAAGGACCAAATTGGGGGTTGATACCTTAGCAGAGGTTGGCAAACTACAGTTCACTTAGCTCACTGACTGCTTTTGTAAATGAAGCTTGTTGTTTACATATAGTCCATGACTACTTTGTTACTACAAAGGCAAAGTTGTAGTTGTGATAGAGACCATATGGCCTACTCAGCCAAAAATATTTACTATTTGATTCTTTACAGAAAGTTTGCTGACCTATATTTTTAGCTGTTTTTCGATGGAAAATCATTTCTTTTTAAAAAGTAGGTTATTCTCAAGCTCAAGGAGGGAAGCAAAAGCTATTGCCAATGAACAGCAGGACAGGGAAGAGATGAGTTAGAAAGAGGAAGCCAGAGAGAGTAGAACCCACTATAGATTGTCAAGATATTCATAAAGTTTGTGACTCCAAAAAGCTTCATGTATAGTATGCTTAAAATAAACAGTACTGCTAAACAATACCTGTCCTTGGTATAAACCAGCATCCTGAATGGTGCTGTCTGGTTTATTCAGTGGTTCAAATGTATTACTCATGTATTTGTTCCACAATCTGGTCTCCTTTTCATCTGGAATATTGAAGATTTTTCTTATTTCTTTTTCAATTGTATCTAGATTTAAGGAGGAAAGATATATAAATATAATACATATTTTAAAATATACCACATAGAGCTAAGTGCTCACCAGCATAAAAATCCTAAATTTAAAATACTGATATAATAGCAAGAATAGGTGAACAAATATGTAGGACATATATAAAGAACAAAAAAGATAAGACCGATGTGTTTTTTTACAAACAAAATGGTAATTATAATTCTGACAGATAATTACTTGGGAAAACAAAGATCTCACAAGGTAGAAAAATTTAATCATGTAACATTCCAGTATAATTTATATTATACAGGATGAAGTTTAACTTTTTACACATTATAAATTCAATGTATTTTTCTGATGATATGATGGACTCAGAAGAAGTATTAGTCACAGATGCTACAGATAGAAAATTTTATTTTTAATTGTAACATAACCAATTTTAGGATAATTTATATTAAATTGAATATAACTTACAGTTTGAATAGTTCACTAAAATTAAACAGAATAAATGGACACAAAGGAAAGTGCCTTCTTGAAGGAATGTCTGTATTAGTAAAAATATCTTGTTTTCATAGTAAAGCCATATATTTTCCTTATTTCTAAATCAATTATGTGAGTAGAAAAAGTATTTTTAACCTGGAGCAGCTTAACCTGCTATACAACAGGAGTCCCCACATATGAGAGTAGAGATGTAATTAAATTTCAGTGCCATACAGTTAAATGAATCTTTAAAATTTTTAAACATGAGAGATTATTAGAAAATAGCATTAAAACTATTGAATTCTGGTCAGTAACTTGCCTACCTTAGACTCATGAAAAGTGTAAAATATCTTATGACATATGAAGAAATATATAATACTTCTACATTTTAGAGTACCTGGCTAGCTTTGGGAAGAAATTATTTATAAAACACTAAACCTATTAATACATGTTCTCTGAAGAACTATAAAAACCTATACCTATCCTACTTCATTAATTTTAGTCTAATAATATTGTTTATGTTCTACTTAGCTAAAATTCATTAATAGTCTTATAGTCAATGAGATTTTGATTAAGGCTTTAAATAAACAGGAAATCTTACAGTGTATCTGAAAACTTGGCGCAAATTAGCTAGAATATTTAAATAATTACACAAAATAAATATACTAACAGTACTGCTTTCTATTTTGGTGGGTTGGTCTTTTTCCTTTTTGTTCTTTTTATTGAAATATAAATATATAACAGAAAAATTCACAAGTCATCAGTATATAATGATAAATTTCCAAAGTGGACACACCCCGTAACTAGCATCCATATCAAGAAACAGAACATTACCTAGGAAGGAGGGTAGAGGAAGAAGCTGAGGAAGGGAGGTCATTTTCGTCTTTCTATAAAACTAAGTGCTCTTTCTCCTGATTGCATAAATAATTCTTGCTCATTGCAAAAATTCAGGAAATACAAACACCACTGTTAAGATTTTATTTCTTCTTTCAGACCTTTATCTGTTAATACACAGATACATAATACAATACATGGAGACACATATGGGAATTTCCTCTTCAATGAGTTCTGCAATCTACTCACATATAGGGGAAGAACATTAAAGACAGAAGAAAGGACTGCAAAGGCCCTGAGATAAGAATGCATTTGGCATGTTTCAGAATACTGTGGTGCAGCAGTGTGGCTGAAGTGAAATGAGCAAGGTGGAAATGGATTATATAGAATCTTGTGAGCTATGAGAATATACTATTTTATCTGAGTCAAGGGTAGGAGACTAGGCCACTGAAGCAATCAAAACCAAGGGAGAAGCAATGTTAAGTGGTCAGAATGAGAACAGATTCTGAAGGAACTGCTTAGAAGATACACTGCTTAGATTACATGCAGGGCATGAAACAAAAGAGAATCTGAATGATTCCAAGGTTTTGAGCCTGAGCAATTGGAAGAATACAAGTGGGGACTACTCAGATGGGGAAGAATGACAGGGTAGCAGGTTTTTTGGGGGGAAGGGACAGACTTTAGTTTTGTACATGTTATATCTTGAGATTCCTATCAGGCAGAAGTGAAGTTAGGGAATGATTAAAACTGGAATTAAGGGAGAGTTTTGGGTAGGAGATATAAATTCAAAAGATATTGATACACAGAAAGTATGTGAAGTCAGGGCACAGAAGGAAATCACCAAAGAAATGGGGAAATCCAAGGACTAAGCATGGCAATACCCTGATGTTTTGAGATCAGAAATATGAAGAGGATCTTTTCAGATTCTCTGAGAAGATGCAAGCAGTGAGAACTTGTGCCCTGGAAGCCATGTAAAAAGGAAATATTTGTAAATGGAAAAGTGAGTGAGTATGTATATTAATTTTTGCTGGCAGGTTAAGAAAATGGAAGACTGATATTACCATCAGATTTATCAATGTAGAAGTAGAGACCATCATAGCAGCAGTGCCAAGGGATTGGTAGGTCTGAAGGTCTGATGCAGCAGAGTCAAGTGAGAATGGGAACAGAGTAAGTGGTATCTAGAAAGCAGGATGCTCACATTGAGATTCACCAGGTGCAGCTACAGATAACGACAATCTAGGGTATAACTAGGGAATTAATGCCTCAAATTGGATACAGATTAAAGGTCACTTGAGAATGTCAAGGTATTGAGAGGGTGTGTAGACTTTTCCACATATGAATCTGACTGTGTCAGGCAGTTAATAAAAAGCATAGAGGTAGAAAAATTATTACCTCATATAATAAAAACAAAATTGTTGTGACAAACATTTCTAGTAAGAATATTTAATAAAGTTAAGCAATTCTATTAATAAATTTTATAGAAACAAAGTACTTTTCAATAAATTTTATAACAAACATTGTTTTTTCCAGTGTATTCGTAAAGAAAAAATAAAAACCAACCTTTATGTTTCTTATTGGAACATTTTCTATATCCAAATATGTCAATTTAAGGAGAAAAATACTCAAAGGCAAGGCATTTTGGCTCTGAATGAGGTAAATTATTTAGATCCTGCCTGTGGCTACTATCATTATTATTATAAGTCAGTGTAAATAGTAGTAGCTGAAAATGAGTTTTGATTTGGCAAAACCAGAAAACAAATACTTCTATTTCTTAATTCTATTTACATAGCGTATAGCTGTATTTTATGGACATAAATATTTGGATCATTTTTAATCAAGATGAGACCACAAGGGAAAAATATACATCCCATATTTCCTTTCTTATTATCCAAATTTTTTTATCATTTCAAAACTTACTTCCTTTAGAAAAACAAAATCAGCCCAATTAACCCTTGCACAGATTATATAACGCAATAATTAAGAGATGAGACTGTGTCCAGTTAGAATATTTTCACTTGGAACCAGGGTGATCCTAAGTAAGTCTTTTAACCTTTCTTAGCCCCAACTTCATCATCTATACAATGAAGATAAAGTATTGCTGAGGTTTAAAAAGAAATTTCCTACAAAGTGCCAAAAACATAGTCCCACAACTGCTAACTACTATGATAACTATTTTATCAGGTCTCTAAAATTCCCAGTTTAATTTTAATTTTTGTGAAGGTTTTACAAAATTTCAGTTTTTGTAAAACCTTTTGCTTAGAAAGCAAACTTGCTCAAGTACAGATTACTGAACTTTAAGACTTACAGTAAGAAATCGTGGCCCTATATACACGTGTTGTTTTCTATTGTGATATTTTCTGTTCCATTCTTTTCACTCCCAAACTACTTATACCACCCAGAGTATTGACAAACATGCTCTAATACAGTAAGAAACTTTGGCTGTACAAAAATTCAGGTCACTTACAATTTTAAGGTATATATCCAATGTATGCAGCATTTTAAAGTATTAGTATGTTGATTAAAATCTATACAAATCATAAACTTTTTGAAGCAGATTCTTTATAAATGATTTAACTCCATAAGACAAATTCTTATGTAGTACTTATTATGAGAACTCCCCACTGCTTGTACTGAAATCAGAAATTAAACCAGCTGATCTTCATATAATGAGCTTAAAAATATTATTACGTGAATTAATGTTCTAAAATAAGATTTCTTTTATAAATATTTTTTAATTTTAATTTTTAAAATGTTTATTTATTTTTGAGAGGGAGAGAGACAGAGCTTGAGCAGGGAAGGGGTAGAGAGAGGAAGACACAGAACCTGAAGCAGGCTCCAGGCTCTGAGCAGTCAGCCTAGGGGCCCGATATGGGGCTCCAACTCATGAACCACGACCATGACCTGAGCCGAAGTCAGATGCTTAATCAACTGAGCCACCCAGGTGCCTCTCTAAAAGTAAGATTTCTGATTGTCCCATATTTATACATAATTTTTCTATAGAAATAAGCTAAGGAGAAAAGGAAATACCAAACTCTAGTTTAAAATAACTAGAAAACATTATCTGTATAGTAGCTTCTCATTTATATTCCAACTAGCTGAACATTTCAGACATTATTTAATTTCAATAGACTACCCTTATTAGACTTTAGAGTCTTACTCTGCATATTTTAATATCATGATTAATGCAATTTTATATATATTGATAACTTAAAAAAATTTTTTTGAATGTTTTTATTTTTGAGAGAGAGAGACAGAGCGTGAGTGGGCAGGAGCAGAGAGAGAGGGGAGACACAGAATCCAAAGCAGGGTCCAGGCTCTGAGCTGTCAGCCCAGAGACCGATGCAGGGCTTGAACCCATGAACTGTGAGATCATGACCTGAGCCGAAGTTGGTCACTTAACTGACTGAGCCACCCAGGTGCCCCTATATTTGATAACTTGCAGTTTTTCGTATACAGAAAAAATGTTTTATTTTCCTGAATATGTTCCACAAATCTAGAAGTTCAAAAGTCAACTAACTGTACATATTAATATAATAAAATGACATTTACATATGGAACTCTTACTATTTTAAGTATTCATTGTATTTTTTTAAAGTTTGATTTTGAGAGAGAGAGAGCACATGCACATGCAAGCAAAGGAGGGGCAGAGAGAGAATCTCAAGCAGGCTCTGCACTGCAGCACAGAGCCCGACGCAAGGCTCAATCTCGCAAACCGTAAGATCATGACCTGAGCTAAAATCAAGAGTCAGATGCTTAACCAACTGAGCCACAGGCACCCCTTAAGCATTTATTTCAGAAAGATGACTTAATGAGTTTACTAAATTGCATCACAAGCTTATAAATGTTCTAGGTAAATAAAGAGGGGGAAAACAGAAAATCCATACATAATATCATATTTGTAAAAACATGAGGATTAACCAAGCACTAGGTATTGAAGAATGGTGTTATTTCATGGAAAATACAGTTTTAAAAGTATGTTCTGCTGTGAAATGGGTAAGTGGTGAAAGTCAAATATACTTGTGAAATTCAGAAATATTTTTATTTGCTTTTAACGAAAGTATACTTAATGACTGGTTTCAACAAAGAAAGCTATACATAAATTTGCAATTTTTTTTTTTTTGGCTGAGAAGTTCTGTTCATTAATTGCTATGTCTCCACTGTCTGTCTACATTTTCCAACAAGATCAATATTACCATTCATCTTGTTTTCCAATAACTTTATTATAAAATAACTACCTTCTATAATTTTTATTTTGAGCTGTGTTCTATGAACTACAATTTTGTTATTAAATCCATAATCATTTATTTAAAAAATATCTTATTCAACATAGTCTGACCTTAAATTAAAATGTGACTTTAAAATACAATAAAAAATTGCATATATTTTAATATGCACTTGTATGTGTAGATATATAAATATATAATGATATGTAGATATATAAATATACAGAGGGAGTTGGGTACACTCGAGACTATAATTTCCTAATCCACTCATTGTTAAACAAGAAAAAAATTAACGTATCATAAAAATGCTAACTCTACTAAGCCTACTGCCTTATTTAAGTAGCTACTTAATTGTATTTAAAGTCCAAAGAATAAACAGGAAAAAAGAAAATAAACAGTTGTCATTTTCCATGTTAAGTAACAGTTTCCATGTTACTTACAGTTCTCTACTTTAATTTATACTCATGTTACAAACATGGTATGTATTTTTTCAAATGCTAAATTAAAACAGTAATTATTTCATTTTTTTAAGTAAAATAACACAAATAATAAACTCATCTAATAATGTAAACTAGATCTAGACATGATAAATGATTCAACTCTAGGCTAAGGTTTGTTGCCTCAAGCTTGGAAATCTGTAATGTTTAAGTGTAAACCTTAAAAAAGTTATCATCCTAGAAGCATATAAGAAATAGAATTACAGTTAAATTTCTAATAGCAATGGGCAGGATGTTGCATACCTATTGTGTCAGCTTTGCTAAATCTTCGAGTTACAACATTGTTCATGTTTCCATTTTCACAGAGCTTCAATTCTGTGAGATATACTTCTACTTTGCAGTGCTTTACAAACATACCCTGTTCAACCACCTAAAAACCAAAGGAAATCAGTTAGCCAAAGCTCAATATATTTCACTGTCTCTAACAGCAATCAATATATATCTCTAAAGAGGCTTTAGAAAAAAACTACGGATCTCCAATGAAAAACATCTATTAAGAACTGTCAATATAAAATAAAAGATACTAGATAGTTTGAAAAGCAAGAAACATATTTGGAAATTTTAATATTTAACAGAATATGAATAATCATTTTAGACATTAACTGGTAGTTTGGAAAGGCATTTACTGATCTATGAAGATATTTTGGTATACTATAAATAACAAATACATTCAATATTTATAATGAGAAAGTTTACCCCAAATGTAAATACAGCTCTGATTAATTATCCAGACCTACTTCTAGCTTTTAGTACTTGAGCTCTAGCAGAAAACCTTTAAATATAAGTTTTATAAAATCTCAGCAACAGCTAACTCTATATGTTAATTCACTCTATATGTTAAATCTTTTAAAATAACTCCAAATTACTGCTGCCAAAATATTCAGCTATGGTCTGTAACTGATACGTTAGTTTTCCATCCTAAGATGACTTTGTTTGACCTTTATATACGCCCTTAGTAATTCTATTCAACAAATGGAAAAAAAAAAAGCTGCTAAACATGCAAGCAACAAAGCAAAAAAGGAGTAAAAAAAAAAAAAATATATATATATATATATTAGGGTCACCTTTTAAATAAGTATATTTCCTTTTGATCTTCTAAAGGTTAACTGTAGGATTTCAGTCATGAATACTGTTTCTGAAAATAGTAATTGGCCTGATATGTGATACATTAGACAAATATGGCAAAAGGGAGGCTCCAAAAGACTGTTGTACTCACAAGCTTAGCATCAGTTCAGTAAAGGACTTACAAATTTGTCTTTCACTTGCAGGGAAGTTGTTTTAGATCAACAAATTCAAATGTAGCTTAGCTAATATTTAATGTCCAATCCAACACTAATTTTTATGATACTCTTTCATTTATATTCTCTTAATTATACTTGTTATATTCATATTTCTAAAACAGGCCAACAGCCTGCATCTCTCCATCTTTTAATTTTACAAACTTACAGTCTCTTAACTAATGAAATTTGTTTTAAATTCCTTTTGCTTATTTATTTTGAGGTTAAGAATGTAACAAAAGATGCCATATCATTTAATTTTATAGGATTACTGGTAGCTATATTTAAGAGGAAAAATTAGAAATCAAATATTCCTGTCAATCAGAAATTTCCACTCTGGGACTCTAGTATCTGAGTGAGAATCCTAAAATAGTATTAATACTAACCATTGGCAGGTTGCTAAAACTGAGGTGGCTATAGGCCTCATTTTTAGGAGGGAAAAATGGAATGACCAATAATAGAATAGGGTAATAGGATAACAAAACAGGATAAAACTAACAAAAAAGAAAATCCCTCATTATGATTTATATTGAGATATATTTTCTTCTAAATAAGCCTATTCTTTAAAAAATGAGAATTAATTTTAGTAATACCAATAGATATTTTCCTGGAAAGAATCTGGTGATTCAACTATCAGAAACTCAATGTAAACAATGAAAACAAAACACCAAGATTATTTCAAAATCCACTTTATTGGGTTTCAGGATTTTTCTCGTCATTTTTTTTCTTTTCTCCAAAACTATCTTATATTATTAAAACCCTCATCGTCAGTACTCAAAATACTACTGTTATATTTTACTTCCAAAAGTAGTGTAATAAAAAGATGTTCTTTTAAATAAATGTTGAGTTTGTCCTCTCAACTGTTTTTATTTGAAAGAACCATACTAGGGGCGCCTGGGTGGCGCAGTCGGTTAAGCGGCCGACTTCAGCCAGGTCACGATCTCGCGGTCCATGAGTTCGAGCCCCGCGTCAGGCTCTGGGCTGATGGCTCAGAGCCTGGAGCCTGTTTCCGATTCTGTGTCTCCCTCTCTCTCTGCCCCTCCCCCGTTCATGCTCTGTCTCTCTCTGTCCCAAAAAAAATAAATAAAAAAAAAAAAATGAAAGAACCATACTATATGAATAATTAAAGCTTGAATACAGTAGCTCCACGGCAGAGAAAAATAATTAACATATTTATGTATGTGTTATTACGGTTTTATGTAGATTATTTATTTACATAACATCTTATTTATATTTATTTATATAAAGTCTACTGCCTTATTAAAAATGCACAGAAAATAACCATTTAAAATAATGACTATGAAGACTGTGCAACAGGAAGAAACAGGCTCATAAAAAACAAGGTATAAAGTTATATTTACCTAATTATTATAAACATTAAAATATATATTTGAAATTAAGACTGGAATGTGAATATTCAAAAGCAGTAGTTATGTTTCAGAATTAGAGATAACCATGGAAACATTTTTTTCTACGTGAATTATGTTATATTAATATGAATAAGAAGCAAATACAAGATGAAATCTGGCTCCCTGTCCAAAATTTAAAACTTATGGCTAAATAAAAGTAATTCCATTAATTGATATCCACAACAAAGGTAAAATCTCTTTACTAGTGAGGGAAATAAAAATTTATATTGAATTAAAATAAATATAATTTCTATTTGTTCATTTTGCTGTGAATATTAGCATTTTCCCCCCTTTGGAAACAGCAAGTGATTTCTAAGGAAATCTGGTATCTAAAACAAGTTGATAATACGGCCTAATGGATACATTTACTATTTTTGAGGAGTTGGCTGCATTCATTTTTGTAGCACTTACTGAGTACTATGCTTATCCTAGTGGTAAAAACAGACAAGTAGTGAAGTCTAACAAAATTTCAAAATCATAGGTATTAATACATAAAAAAATCCTACATATGATATTCCATCCACAAATATTTCAGGACTTATTTGTTCAAAAACAAGAAAACAAGGACTCAGGACCATAATACCACATCACACCTAAAAAAAACTTTAAAACTAGGGGTGCCTGGGTGGCTCAGTTGGTTAAGCCTCCAACTTTGGCTCAGGTCATGATCTCATGGCTCATGAGTTCGAGCCCCACATTGGGCTTTGTGCTGACAGCCCACAGTCTGGAGCCTGCTTCCAATTCTGTGTTTCCCTCTCTCTGTCCCTCCTCTACTTAGGCTCTGCTTCACTCTCTCTCTCTCAAAATGAATAAACATTAAAAAAATTTAAAAAAAAAACTTTAAAACGAATCTTTCATATCAAATATCCAGTCAATATTCAAACTGCCCCTACTGTTTCGTTTTTAATATACTGTTTGAATCAGGATCCAAATCAAGTCCATACACAAAAGTCTCTAAAATGTCTTTTAACTGCAAGTTCACCATGCTTTTTATTCTTGCAATTTTTAGTAAAACTACTTCATATTCTTGCAATATTCAGTAAAACTACTTCAATGAGATACATTCTAAATAAGATGCATAGTTATCTAGTTGCCCCTCTTTTTGTGATGTTGGTAGGCATTAATTAACAGTACTGAGATCAGGGATGGGGAAACTATGACCCCACAGGCTACATCTACATCTGACTTGCTATCTATTTTTGTATAACATTCTACTAGAACATAGTCATGCCCATTCACTTATATATCATCTATGAGTGCAACCAAAACAGCAGAGATGAATACCTTCCAGAGACTACCATGGCTTGCAAATATTTACTATCTGCTCTTTACAGAAAAAGTTTGGTGACACCACCCCCCACCCCAAGCATTATTTTATTTTTGATCAGTCTTGCCTGGACTCATCTTTATTTTACTGATCTAATTTTACTGTTCTTTATGAGCCAACTTTGTTCATTTAATATAGGTTTTTTTTCTATTTTATGTTATTATCTCTTGATTAGGCTTAATTTCCTTTTCATAACTCCTTGAGACAAAAGATTTTGACTTCTTTTCTAATATAAGTATTTAAGCTAGCACATTCTAAGAATGGCTTTAGTCATTCTTTCATGTTGTGTTATTATTATTCAGTTTAAAATGTTTAATTTTACTTTGTATTTCTTCTTTAAGGATTACTTTACAAGTACAATGTTCCATTTCTAGATAGCTAGGAGATTATCTAGTTACCTTTTTGTTACCAACTTCTAAATTCCACTGGGGACAGAAGTCACTGAATAATTTCTAACATTAGAAGTGCACTGGAATTTGCTTGATGGCCCCACATATGGTCAATTTTGGTAAAAATTCCACTCAGGAAGAATCTGTATTCTGCACTAAGTGCAATGCATGTCAATTAGGTCATGCTGTTTAACCACGTTGTTCAAATCTGCTTCCAAGCTCAATCATGTGGTTGCTGGCAGTTCTCAAAACCTCTCCAGCTGCTGGCAGAGAATTTAACTCCTCATTATGTGAGTGCCTCTATAGGCTGCATGGCAATATGGCTTCACTCAGAGTGACTGATCCGAGAGAGTGAGCGAGAGCGAGCGAGGGAGGGAGGGAGAGAGTGACAGAGAGCACACGCGTGAGTGCACACACAAAAGAGCACTTCCCAAGTTAGAAACACCAGTTATCTTTTCTTTTAGAAACTAATCCCAGAAGTGACATACTATCACTTCTGCCATATTTTACTGGTCACACAGACTAACTTTGGTACTATCACTTCTGCCATATTTTACTGGTCACACAGACTAACTTTGGTACAACGTGGGAGATTACACAACAGTATATAAGTAACAGGAGGTGGCAGTCACTGGGAAGCTTTTTGAGGCTGGCTACCACAGTCCACTCTCTGGCTCCCAGTAAGTCACAGTCCCTCCCTACAACATGCAAAATACATTTACTCCCTGCAAAGCCCCCATTAGTATCACCCGATTATAATATCAACTCCAAGTTTAGAAACTTGTCATCTATATCGGATCCAGGTATGGATAAGGCCTTGGATATAGTTTCTTAAACATCTTGGGTATAGTTCCTTTTTATCTATAATCCTGTGAACTACGATATAAGTTTTCTGCCTACCATACACCCTAAATAAAATGGTGGGGCATACAGAAGACAATTTTTTAGATATTCCTGTTAAAAGGGATGGGGATGGGGTGGGGAGAAAAACAAAGGAGTCAACGGTCCATGGAAATTCTGAAATCCACCTGGGCAAATACTTAAAGTTCCTTGATCAGGGCCTGAAAATGACTCTTTACAACATTGTTTGTTTCCTGAATCACACTTTTTTTCATGAAAGTTAGCACATGTGTGCAGTTGAGTAAATTCTTAGTCTGACCTCTGCTTGTAGAAGTCTCAGAGATCAAAGGCCTCTTTGATCTTAACACTGTTTCTGTAGTCCAAGATGGTAGCAGTTCGTGAAAACACCACAGGTCTCCAGTGGATCTCACTGGAGTCTCATTCCATTAGACAAAAGTCACATCCACAAATGTCCTCTAGATACGTCCTATCTTGGGTTTACGCTGAAAGCCTGAAGGGCGATGCTCTTAAGCTTCTTAGAAGCTCCACTGTTCTTAGAAGCCACATATTGAAAGGAAGTGTGAAGTACACCCTGAAATTCTTTAAAGGGACTTTTGTCTGAACAGTATTGTGAAGTACCACCTTTGACTTCTCTGAGGTCTTAATAAAGAATTTTACAGTTGTACTCTTGGCTTCAACTTTCGTTCATGCTTTCCTGAGAGTGACTTAAGTTTGATCTTTGCTTGGGAACACATTAGTTTCAGCACTGTCATCTGGAGAGGCCATCAATCTTCCAAACCAGGAAGTCTTGGCTCCTTTTTAACAGCCCTTTCTTTAGTTTCTCTCTCCCTTCTCACATGAGACTATATGAAGCACAAGAAGAAACCAGGCAGTACTTCCAATATTTTGGCATATCATTCAGCTCATTAGATATTTTTTTACCTTTCAATTTACTGCAGTTGACAAATGCTGCTAAACTTTCTGCTACCTTACAACAAAGATCACTTCTTCTGGGTTCCATTAAGATTTTCCTCACTTTCCTGAGTCCTCACTGGCAGCCTCCTCAAAGTCTAAAATTGTGCTACCAATTTATTCAAGGCACTTTAAGCTTTCATTAATACTCATAATTTCTTACAGCTTCTACTCCCTGCCTGGTTCTAAAGCCACACCACACTTCAAATTTTGATAAGGCAGCACACTATTTCCAGAACTACCAAAATTAGTTCTTAGTTTTCTTTCATATACTTTTTTGTTTTGTTTTGAGAAAGGGAGAAGGAGAGAATCCCAAGCAGGCTCCACGCTCAGCGGGAGCCCACTGTAGGACTACACAACCCCAGGACCACTACCAGAGGAGAAATCAAGAGTCAGATGTTCAACTGACTGAGCCACGCAGGCATCCCAGTTACTAGTTTTCTAGTGCTGCATAATATATCATCCCAAAATTCAGCAACTTAACATTAGTTCACATAGTTTCTGAGGGTCAAGAACCTGGAGCAGCTTAGCTAGGTTGGTCTGCTTGGGGTCTCTTATGAGATTAAGGTCAAGCTGTAGGCTAAGGCTTCAATTATCTGAAAGCTGTAATGACACTGGAGGATTCACTTCTGAGGCCACTCACATGGTTGTTAACAGGTCTCCATTTCTCTCTATTGCCCAGAGATCTCAGTTCCTTACTATATGAGCCGTTCCACAGGCTGCCTGAGTATGCAGTTAAACTTCCCAGAACGAGAAATGACAGAGTGCAAGAGGGTGTGTGCACCCAAGATGGGAGCTGAGGTGTCTTCTATAATCTCATCTTTTCTATTTTAATGGGGTATTATTGAAATGTAACATTAGTTTCAAATGTAAAACAATGATTTGATATTTGTGTATGTTGTGAAACGGATCACTACAAAAAGTCTAGTCAATGTCTGTCACCCTACATAGTTAGAAACATTTTTCTTTTGTGACAAGAACTTTTAAGATCTACTCTCTTAGCAGCTTTCAAAAATGCAATACAGTACTATTAACTATAGTTAACCATGCCATACATTACAACCCCATGACTTACTGATTTTATAACTGGAAGTCTGTACCTTCTGGATCCCTTTACCCTAAAATCTAATCTTGAAAGTGACACATCCACTTTAACTTCTGCCATGTTACTGCCACAAGGGACTACCCAAGGATATGGATATAAGGAGGTTGTCTTGGAGGCTACTGTCTTAACTTATATACTAATATGATATATTTTAAGTTTATGTATATATTCATCCTAATAAGATATTACTACCATTTTAAATAGTCTGCCTTAAGATTTATTCACAATATTTACTTTTGTTAATCTACATTTTTTCCTGGGTCTCCAAGCTTCCATACGGAATAATTTTCTTACCATTCTGAAAACTGCTTTGTATTTCCTTTAGTGCAGGTCTGCTAGTAACAAATTCTATCAATTTGTTTATCTGAAAATAGCTTTCTTCACTACCCGAAGGATCCTTTTCTGAAGGATCCTTTCCTTGGATACACATTCTAGGTTGGCAGTGATTTTCTTTCATCATGTTGAAGACGGTTATTGTTATTTTTCAGATTTCATTTCTTCTGAGAAATAATTTCTTTGTTTATTCTTACTTTGAAGGTAAATAGACCTCTTTTTTGGCTGTAAGAGGAATATCTTTCTGCTTTTGCTATTGAACATTTTTATTGGGTATGGTTTTGTTTGTATTTTTTTGAGCATGGGTTTGTTTCACAGCATTTGATTCTGTAGCATGTTACCTTCCACTGGTTTTAGAAAATTCTCAGCTATTATCTCCAGCATTACTTCTTAAAATTTTGTTGTTGTTATTTATTTTTGAGAGAGAGTGTGAGCAGTAGAGGAACAGAGAGAGAGGGGGACAGAGGATCCAAAGTGAGCTCCAAACTGACAGCAGTGAGACTGACGCAAAGCTCAAACTCACAAACCACGAGATAATGACCCGAGCCGAAGTGGGACACTCAACTGACTGAGCCACCCAGGTGTCCCACCTCCAATGTTACTTCTATGCTGTTCTGCTTTTTCTCTCCTTCTAAGAGTCCACTTGTATGTATATTAAACTAATGCACTTTGCTCAAAGTGCCTTTGCTTATTTCTGTATATTCCATCATTCAGTGTCTCTAAGCTTCAATCTGTATATATTTTTTAAAGTTTATTTTGAGAGAGGGAGGAAGCAAGAGCATGAGTGGGGCAGGGCAGAGAGAGAGACAAAGAATGTCAAGCAGGCTCTGTGCTGTCAGCACAGAGCCCGACGCAGGGCTCAATCTCACAAAACCTGAGATAATGACCTGACAGAAGTCAAGAGTTGGACGCGTAACCAATTGAGCCACCCAGGTGCCCCAAGTCTATTTATTTCTACTGATGTTATCAGTTAGTTTACAAATTTTCTCTTTGGTTCTGCTTACTGTTTTACCCAAATACTGATTACTTACTTCTTAATTTTTTTCATATTATTTTAGAATTACAAATTTTATTTGGTTCTTAATAGTTTTAGAATTATATTTAATTCTTAACAGTTTTGAAGTCCTTCAACGGTCTTATTTTTAAACATAGTAAGCACAGTATTTATTTATTCATATTTATTTTAGAGGGAGAGTGTGCACATGTATGCACAAGTGATGGAGGGATGGCGGCAGGGTGGAGAATCTCAAGCAGGCTCCACGTCCAGCATACAGCTGGACTACGGGCTCGTTGTCATGACCATAAGATCATGACCTGAGCTGAAATCAAGAGTCAGATGCTTAAGTGACTGAGTCATCCAGGCTCCCTATAAGCACAGTATTTTAAAATTTCTGTCTGATAATTCCAGGGACAGAGAGAGAGACGGAGAATCCCAAGCAGGCTCCGTACTGTCAGCGCAGGGCCCGATCCCACAAACTATGAGATCATGACCTGAGCCTAAATCAAGAGCCAGACGGTTAACCAACTAGGCCACCAGGCACCCCAAGATTTAATTCTATACCTAAACCACCAATATACACATACAATTGTTAATATAGCAACTCTGTAGCAGTTCCAAATAAATCCATGTATGGTTTGGTCTACTACAGGTCTATACGCTTGTGTTACCTAATTTGTTTTTTTAATTGTTTCTGGGTTGAAAAAAAAAAAAAGATAAATAATTATATGCTCAGAGATTCTGGTCCCCAAACTCTTCCTTCCTCTCTTCCCCCTCCCTGCCTGATACACTATTAAATACTTGTGTAAGACTGGCAGACCTACTTTAAACATTCGGTATTCTGTTAAATGACAACACCCTTACTTTCATAAATGACTTTTTAGTTCCAAAAAGTAAAAACAATGGGTCTTTTTTTTTTTTTTTTTTTTTTTTTTTTTTTTTGACAGAGACTGAGAGAGAGAGGGAAGGGAAGAGGGAGAGGGACAGAATTTTCAGCAGGCTCCATAACCCAGCATGGAACCTGACACAGGGTTCAATCTCACGAATGTAAAATCATGACCTAAGCCGAAATCAAGAGCTGGAGGCTTAACCAACTGAGCCACACAGGTACCCTGATAATGCATCATTTTTAATGTTTCTAAACTCTAACTGTAAAACTTGCAGCATAGTGGTTAGGAAAACAGGCTGCCTAAGTTTTTAAACTGATGTGACTTTCTAAAAGACCCTGAATCTATCTCTGTCCTCATTTCCTCATCTATAAAATGAAGGTAAGAATACGTACCCTACAGAGCTTCCTAAACAAAAATGTGAACTGTTGGAGAAAAATATTTTTATTCAGTTATGCTTAATACATACCTTTCGTGCTATTGGTTCCTGACCTTCCATCAACGTGTACCAGCTGACAAGTTTATTCCAGCCCTCAGTTGGCAACAGTATGTAATCCAATTCATCAATAAGATGTTCCTTAAGTGACTGGGCATCACCATCTGCAAAAGAAAATAGTAAACTTGATATGTAAAAAGAAACAATAGTACATATATCTAATACTATATAGTGTAACTATGATAGGTTACTTAAATTCATGGAGACTAATTTAAATATTTAACCAATGAGTTCTGAAGAAAGCTCTGAAGAAATTCACATATAAATCTACGTTTCAAAATAAACTGTTGCTTTAAAAAGTTTCAATGTGTACCAGTAGTCAATGAACAGCATTTAAAGACATAATTTTTTTATTAAGCTCTTAAAAAAAATACTAAGGTGTAATCTTAAAAAAATACCAAGAGATCTGAAAGAAAAGTGTTTCCCCAATATTTCAAGTAGCAGATATTCCTCACGTAGTAAAAGTGATCATTCTAGCATTAGGTGATGAAGGAAATTCAGAAGCAAATCAATAACCTTTTACAATGACTCCAAAGCATACGGGCTGGGAACCATGATGGAAATCAAAAAAGGGCACCTTGAAAACCAAATCATTACTCCAGAAGGCCCATGATGTACGTTCCTCCCAAAATCTAAAGTAGAGGTAGTTGTTCTGATGTGGTTCTAATTCTATAATCATTTTCAAAATTCTGGTTAAATTAAAAACTTACTGCAGGGCAGACCAGATATCTAGAAGCAAGAGCATGAGTTACACCTGTATGACAGTTCTAATCTTAGACTCATTTTTTATTATCTGGTCCTGTTACCTGAATTTTCAAAGTGCAGAAACAAACACATATAGTTCATTGAATTACACACAACATAAAGATTTTCTCAATCTGAGCCAGTCTTAAACTAACAAACATGGAAAGCAAAATTGTTGTTAGTAGTATCTCAGTGAGAACACATATTCTTAATTAGACATTACAATATAAAACAAGAAGCAGGAAAAATTCTGAAAAGATTAAAAGAAAGTTATTTATTCCATCTAGCATCAATCTATGGTCAGAGAATCACACTGAACTTTGAGAAAACTTTCATGTAGAGAAGAAATGGTAAAACTCTAAGTTCTATAATACAAACTTCAATCGCAGATGCAAACTAAGCATTAATTTTTAAAACCTTAGTTGTAATTCTAAATTCTTTATGGAAACTGATCATTTGGAACATATTTTCAGAACCTGCTGAAGGTGAAAGAGACTTACACATTGTAAACACCTCTATGCATCATATCCTATGAGACATACTACAGGAGACAACCATGTTATCTCAGTTCTCAAAGCAATCCTGTAAGATAGGTATCTCCATTTTAGATTAGAAAATATTTTCAGGGAAACTCAGTAACTTTCCCAAGATCATACATACAGAAAACTGCAGGTACTATGAAAGGTGTTACTATAGAAAACACTGTTAGGTGACTTTTCAAAACAGTATCATGAGGTAGATATCTCCAAATTAATGAGTAAACAGATTCCAGTACTGATTAACTCGCCAAAGGTTACACATACAGAAGACTGTACAAATTGGACTCAAATAGATTGGTTTACTTAAACATCCATTTTCTTTCTACTATTGACAGATTGCCCTCCAGAAAACTTAGGAAAAGAAAGAAAAGTTTAAAAATTAAGACTTATAAGCTGTTTTCCACAATAATTCAAGAGTTTGAGTAAATGATTTTACTATGTACCAGAATCAAATAGTAACTTTACATGTAGTGGACAATATTTGTTACTTCTGCAATTACTGACTCATAATTGATACACAATAAATTGCACATATTTAAGGTGAACTATTTGGTCAATTTTGACAGATCAATACAAATGTGAAACCACCACCATGACCAAAATGATGGATAGATTCCTCCCCATTAAAGGATTCCTAAGAGTCCTTTGTAATCTCTACTTTCTGTTAATCTAAGTCTACTGTCCTGTCCCCCAAAAATCACTTACCTGTTTATCCATATTTTGCAACTATAGACTAATGTGCACTTTGTAGTTTTATATGAAAACTGTCTTTTGTTACTACAGGCATTTTCTAGAATCTCATGTAAAAATTATATATAGTGTTTTTGTTTGGCTTTCTTTACACTGTGTAATTATCTTAAGAGCCATCTATGTTTCTACATATTAATACTTCACTGCCAGCACAGAGCCTGACATGGGGCTCAAACTCATGAAACTGTGAGATCATGACCTGCGCCAAAACCCAGAGTTGGACGCTTAACCAACTGAACCACCCAGGCATCCCTACACTTCATTCCTTTTAATTGTTGAGTAGGATTTCATTATATGGATATACTATAATTTGTTTATCCAGTTAGCTATTGATGGGCATTTGAGGTTGTTTCCAATTTTCTCTATTACAAATAACATTGCTATGCACATCTGTGTATAAGTTTTCATATGGATATATATTCTCATTTCTTTTGGGTAAATATGTAGGAGTGGAATGACTGGTTTCTACGGTAAACATGGGTTTAGGTTTTTAAGAAATTTCCTATTTCCAAAAATAGTGTATAGAAGCTCCACTTATTTCACATCCTTGTCAACACTTGGGTATCATTCTTTTAAATTTTAATCATTTTGATACACGTATCAAACAAACATACACATACACATTTGAAACCTCATTTCTCTAATGACTAATGATGCTGATAATCTATGCAATTATGCAGTTTTTGAAAACTCCATTTTCTTTTGTGAATCATCTGTTCAAATCTTTTGCCTGTTTTCCACTAGTTTTGCTGTATTAATATAGTTTCAAGAATTCTTTATTCTGCATACAAGTCTTTTATCAGTTAGGTGATCTGCAAATACTTCTCCCACACTGTGGTTTGTTTTTTCATTCTTAACATTTATCATTTGAAGAAGATTTTATTACTGAGCACAGGTTTTTTTCTTTTATCAGTTTGCTTTTCGTATCACATTTAAGAAATCTGCCTAACACAATGTCACAAAGATTTTCTCCTATTTTTTACAATTTATATGATCTGTTTTATTTTGTATATAATGCCAGGTATGGATCCAAGTTCAGTTTCTTGTTTTTTTTTTTTTTTTTTTTTTTTTTTTTTTTTTTTTTTTTTTTTTTTTTTTTGCGAACAGATACCTAAAGCTCAAGCAGTATGTTTAAAGACTATCCTCTCTTTACTGAAATCCTCTTACATCTTTGTTTAAAATCAATTGACCACATGGGGCGCCTGGGTGGCGCAGTCGGTTAAGCGTCCGACTTCAGCCAGGTCACGATCTCGCGGTCCGTGGGTTCGAGCCCTGCGTCGGGCTCTGGGCTGATGGCTCAGAGCCTGGAGCCTGTTTCCGATTCTGTGTCTCCCTCTCTCTCTGCCCTTCCCCCGTTCATGCTCTGTCTCTCTCTGTCCCAAAAATAAATAAACGTTGAAAAAAAAAAAATTAAAAAAAAAAAATAAAATCAATTGACCACATATGTGTGCATCTACTTTTGGATTCTCTAATCTGTTCAATTGATCCTTGTCTCACACCGTATACGAATATTAACTTAAAATTGATCAAAGTCATAAATGTAACAGCTAAAACTATAAAATTCTTAGAAGACAACATAGGTGTAAATCTTTTATGACCCTGGATTAGGGAATGCATTCTGACACCAAAACCACAACAAGAAAAAAATATAAATTGGATTTAATCAAAATTAAAAACTAGTGTGCTTCAAAGACACAAGAAAGTAAAAGACAATTTACAGATTGGGAGACAATTTTTGGAGATCATATATCTGATAAGGGGCTAGTATCCAGAATATATAAATAACACTTAAAACAGAAAAATAAAAAGCCCAATTAAAAAATAAGAACAGGATCTGAACTAACTAACATTTCTCCAAAAGAGATACATAGACAGCACAGATAAGATACTTAACATCATTACTCACTAGAGAAATACAAATCAAAATCACAATGAGGTATCACTTCACACCCAGCAGGACGGCTTTAATAAAAGGACAATGTGTTGGTAAGGATATGTCTGACTCTAGATTTCAGCTCAGGTCATGATCCAAGGTTATGGGATCGGGCCCGTGTGAGGCTCCATGCTGAGCATGATATTTTCTCTCTCTCCCCCTCTGCCTCTCTTGCTGTCTAAAATAAAATAAAAATTAAAAAGATACAATTGGGTTTTTAAATAATCGTCTTATATCCTATAAACCAATCTCATTTATTACTCCTTAGAAACTTTGTTTTTTGTAGATTCAATCAAATTTTCTGGACAACTAGGCATAGTTACCTGTGAATAAAAACAGATTTATTACTTCTTCCTGTACAATCTGTATGCTTTTTACCTCTTTTTCTTGCCTTACTGCACTGGGTGGAACCTCTAAGGTCAGCTCTAGACCTAAATGGACACTCTTGCTTTTTTCATGTTACCTGTAGATTTTTTGTAGAAGCCCTTTATGAGGCTGAGGACACTTCCTTCATTTTATTCTTTTATCTTACATATTATCTTTAATTTTTTTTAATGTTTATTTATTTTTGAGTGAGAGAGAGAGACACAATCTGAAGCAGGCTCCAGGCTCTGAGCTGTCAGCACAGAGCCCAATGTGGGGCTTGAACTCACAAAGTGAGATCATGAACTGAGCTGAAGTTGGACGTTTAACCAACTGAGCCACCCTGGAGCCCTGATGTATTATCTTTTAAATATATTTTTCTATATGATACATATACATAAAAAAATATATATATATGTATATATGTGTGTGTGTATATATATATCTTACACATACATACCCATTTCATTGTTGGACTTTATTTACTAAACTTCTGTTTAGACAACATACGTAGACAAGAGTTTTCTTTGGATGTCTGTAAGATTTTGGTATCAGGGTAATGATGGTTTCATAGCATGAGTTGGAAAGTATTAGCTTCCAATTTTGGAAGAGTTTTGTAAAACAGGTATATATAAATATGTGGTGGAATTCACCAGTGGCACCATTTGGATCTGATGGGTTTTTCTGTGAAAAATTTTAAGCTACAAATTCATTTTCTGTAATTGATACAGGGCTATTCAGGCAATCTATTCTTTTGGAATGAGCTTTGGCAGTTTCACTTTTTTTCATCTGGTTTGTTGAATTTAATGACATAAAGTTCGTAATAATTCTTTATTGCCCTTTTAATAGTTGTTGATTCCGAACTGGTGTTACCTCTCGTGTTCTGATATTGGCAATTGTGCCTTTTCTTTTTTCTCTGTTTTTTTTTTATGTTTGTTTATTTTGAGAGAGATACAGTGTGCATGTGTATACATAAGAGTAGGAGAGGGGCAGTGAGAGAGGGAGACAGAGAATCCTAAGCAGGCTCCTGCTGTCAGCAGAGTCTGACACAGGGCTCAATCTCTCAATTTCACGAACTGTGAGACCATGACCTAAGATGAAATTAAGACTCAGATGCTAGTCAGAAACTAGATATGGACCCATTTTATTATTTCACAAAGAACGAGTTTATTTTTCCTTTTTTATAATTGACATATCATCTTATATTTGTTTTGAGAAGAACCGATTTTTGGTTCATTTTTTTCTTTATTTTTCTATTCTCTAATTTCTGTTCTGAAATTGCTTTCTTTCTTCTAAGTTTAATCTGTTCTTTTTTAGTTTCTTAAAAACTGTCACTGATTTGAGAGTCTCATTTTCTTTACTGATATATTATTTATGTATTATATATTAATACAGTCACTCCAGCTTTCTTTGGATTAGTGTTAGCACAGGTATTACTTTTCTGTATGCTGTATAACAAACTAATGCAGCTGCTGAAAACCATAACCCATTTACTATCTCATAGTTCTGTGAGTTACAAGTTCAGGGGGCTCAACAGACTTCTCTATTTAGGGTCTCATAAGGCAGAAATCAAGACGTCAGATGGGCTGATCTCCTAACTAGAGACTCTGGGGAAGAATTTGCTTCCAAGCCCATTCAGACTGTTGGCAGTATTCAGTTCTTCATGATGCCAGGACTGAGGTGGTCTGTTTCTTTGCTGGCTGTGAGCCAGGGTCTCTCTCTGTTCCTAAAGGATCCCCTGCCTTCCTTCTCACATGGCCCCTTCCATTTTTAACCAGCAATGATGTACTGAGTAATTCTCATGCTTTGAATCTCTGACTTCTACCAGCCAGAGAAAAGTCTCTGCTTTTAAAGAGCACTTGTTGTTAGATTAAACCTGGTGGGATAATCTCCCTTTTGCCATACAACATAAATAATCCTGGGAATGGTATCTCATCCTAATTCACATGCTCTACCCATACTCAAAGGGGAGATGATTATATAAGAGAGAGAGCAGTCACTGGGAGTCAGTCTTAGAATTCTGCTTACCATAACATGCCATACTTTTTCAATTCTTTTAATCCATTTGTATCTTTATATCAAAAGAGGGGTTTCTTATAGACAGTACATAGTTAGGTCTTATTTCTTATCCAATCTCTACCTCTAATTAGGGGTATTTACATTTAATGTGATTATTCATAGAGAAGAGTTTGAATCTACCACGTTGCTAATTTGTTTTGTATGTTCCATTTGTTAATTTTTTCTACTTAAAAACTTTTTTAAACATTGATATTTCTCCTCATTATGCATATTTTCCTGCTTCTTTGCCTACCAGGTAATATATTGTTAGATCCAAGACATTATAAATTTTATCCTGTTGGATGCTGAATATTTCTGAATTTCTCTAAGTACTCTTGCATTTTGTTCTAAGATACAAAGTTTGATGCTTTCAGGATAAAAGGACAGGACGATTAATTTTGCCCTATTACAGTGGCAAAACCGTTCGCAGTATACTCCATGAATTATAAGGCTTTCCACTCTGTTATGAACACTTTATTCTTGGTCCTATATGAGCCCCAATGATTGTTCCCTCTAATTCTTTTGGGCGCTTCTTTCCTTGGCCTTGGGTACCCCCTTCACATACATGAGCTAATCAACACTCAGTTGGAGATATGAGAGAGACTCTGTATATCTCTAGGTCTCTGTCTCTTTTTGCTGGTCATTCCTATCTGGTACTCTAAACTGAAAACTCTGGTGGCCTGGGTCTCCCTGAATCCCAAACTCTTTCCTCAACTGGGGGGAGTGCCAGGCTCTACATGGGTTTCCTCTTTTGTGCCTTGTTTTGAAAACTTGTATCAATGCAGTAAGCTGAGGCAATCATAGGGCTTACCACATTTGTTTCCTATATCTCAAGGATCACTGTTCTTTGCTGCCTGGTATCCAATGTTTTTTTTTTATCTTTTTTTTTTTTTTTTTTAAATTTTTTTTTCAACGTTTTTTTATTTATTTTTGGGACAGAGAGAGACAGAGCATGAACGGGGGAGGGGCAGAGAGAGAGGGAGACACAGAATCGGAAACAGGCTCCAGGCTCTGAGCCATCAGCCCAGAGCCCGATGCGGGGCTCGAACTCACGGACCGCGAGATCGTGACCTGGCTGAAGTCGGACGCTTAACCGACTGCGCCACCCAGGCGCCCCTGGTATCCAATGTTTTGAGAACCACTGATTTATATATTTTGTCAAGGTTTTAGTTTGCTCAGGTGGAAGAGTAAATCTAGTCCCTGTTACTCCATCTTGGCCAGAAATGGAAGCTCTGGTACTTGTGTTTTATACCCTTTAAATGTAATGAGAGGTACAGAAAACTGGTAAGTAGCAAGGGTTGGAGAAGATTGATGCAAAAATCCAAGAATGTAAACATTTATCAGCGCTCCCCAACTAAATAAAGAATCATGTGTCCATTAGGAATAATGTAGCACTATAGTGCTTTAAGATAGTGCTTTCTAACTTACATTCTTCATTTAAAGATGTGAATAATAAACATTTCTTACATAATAAATGAAAACAATCTGTCATAATACACAGTAATAACTGATTATGATAGAATAATCTGAGTTCATTAGGTCAAATCTATTATACAAAGAAATTTTTTTTTTAACATTTATTCATTTTTTTGAGAGACAGAGCATGAGCAGGGGAGAGGAGAGAGAGAGAGAGAGAGAGAGAGAGAGAGAGAGAGAGAGAGAGAGAATCTGAAGCAGGCTCCAGGCTCTGAGCTGTCAGCACAAAGCTTGACACGGGGCTCGAACTCATGAACTGCGAGATCATGACCTGAGCTGAGCTTAACCAACTGAGTCCCAAAGAAATTTCTAATATATCTATTTACATTAACATTTTCCATATTACGTACATTTACTATAACATATTCAAATGAACACATTTACAACCTAACTGAAGAAAAGAAATAATGACCTTTGAGAAGTCCAGAGTTATCAATGGGTCCAGGATATACATTTTGATCTCCCATCTGGTATTTGTCCCAGCTGTCAAAGCCAACATATTTTTTCCACTGTTTGAACCAGCGACTATCGACTAGGTACCTAAAAAAGAAAAGAAATCAGTAAAGGAACTATAGGAACAGCAAAGAAGCTATTTTTGATACTTCATTTTATACTACAGTATATGCCTACTTCAAAGGATTATTGAGAATAACTGTAACGTGACTCAGTATCTGGAAAAAGAATATTTCATTTGTGTAAAGTGTTATTTCTACTGTTCTATAAATATCTACTATTTGAGGACAAGTATTGACATACATGTTAAAAAAAATCCTTAACAGTACCTCTTAAAAAATGCAGTAACTATTCAATAAAATATTTGACAATTGAACCAATTCAAATGGTAATCTTAAGAATCAATCAAAACAAACTTTAAAATATAACATGGTAAACAACATGAAAATGGTTCTTCTGCAAAAAACTTACAAACACAGTATGTTAATTTTATATATTTTACTCTATGGGGATAAGGAAAATGGATTATTAAAAGTTTGCAAGATCGATTATAATAACACCTTTTTTAAAACTATAAAAACAATTAGTTTCTTCACTAACAAAGTTAATAACAATAATACTGTCTCCATCTGTTTTTCATACAGTAGTAAAATCTGCTGGGGCAAGCAGAATTGTTTTTCTTTTTCTTTTTTCTTTTTTGGTGGTTTCAAAAGTGTGGTACCCAAGCACTATAAGCTTTACTTTATTGAAACTGTATTCATCTTATTTTCAAATATCTAGAATTGGCTTCTCATCAGATGGCCAGTGACAGAAGAAGTCAAATAATGGTGTTCTAGCAAAGAAAATATAAAAAAAATCATAAACGTAAAAAAGTTTACAAATTAATTCTGATTATTTTATATCTATAATGAAATACCGCTTTGCCATGGACTCATAATTATTTTAAATTCTTTACCAGAAATATTTTCCCCACACTTAACTAGGTTTAATCACAAACAAAATCAGGAGTAAAGGTCAACAAGATGTTTAAAGCCCACATGTGTACTAACACAGGTAGCCAAGTTTATTTGGAGACCATCATTATTATGTATCTGTGCTTACCACATGCAGCACTAAGTATAGGAATGAAATCCTACAGTTATATCTGAAAATATCTGAAGCAAATTCCTAGAAAATATTCATCAGCAGTTTAATTCCCTAAAAATGGGTTTTGTAGAATTATCTATACACTAGTACCCCAAACCTATAGTCAGAACTATGTAACAGAAAGTCCTCAAACTGCAGAACTTGAGACTTATGTGGAGAAAAAGTTCAGAGACTAAGTCCTAAGAAAACCCTGTCTCTAAAATAAATAGATTAGCAATAACTTTACATGTTAAATAATAAAGAAAATTATACTTAATTGTACCTCATTCACTAAACATCTTTTAGAGTGTCTCCTATATCTAAATAAAATTATTCAGATGTTTCATTTGCTTTCTTTGCAAATTAATGTCACACTAAATGGCCTTTCCTCTGTTTCATCTATTTTTTTTTTAATCACTGTGCCAATTTCATAGTATCTTTATTACTTTAATCTTAATCTTTATTTTTTTAGGGCAAGTTCCCTCAGCTTGTTGATTTTGCAAATTGCCTAAACTATCCTTGGCCATTTGCTCCTCCACATGAATTTTAGAGTCAGTTTACCAAGTTCCACAAAAACTATGATTAAGATTTTGATTGGAATCACACTGAATTTATAGATTAACAGTAATACTATAAATAACAAGCGATTTATAAAACTTACATTAAAACTACTTGGGAAATACTACCAAATTCTACTTATATTTAAAAGATACTTCTAAAAGATGGCATTTTATCTGCCAAAGTATTTAATAAATCCTTTACTGTTATAGTGTAAGTTTGTACTGGGTAGTATTCATCTCATCTTTTGCCATAATATTTCTAGTTCAACTCTCAGATCATGAAGTGACTACTTTCTGTATAATACTACTACTGTAAGAGGATACTCTCCCATTTGATGGATATTTATCTGCTTTCAACACTACTTTCAATTAAAAAGTCCACCATATTTCTATTATAGGCTACCTATATCTTATTTGTGGAATTTTGTGGTAATGAAAGATGAAGGAAATGTAGGAAAAAACAGGAACATCTATTATAGAAATAATATGTAGACTTCTCCACTCTGGAAAAGAGTAAGAAGGTTCCTCAAAAAATTAAAAATAGAAGAACACTACAACCCAGCAATTGCACTACCGGGTATTTATCCAAGGGATACAGGTGTGCTGTTTCAAAGGGGCACATGTACCCCAATGTTCATAGCAGTGCTACTGACAATAGCCAAAGTATGGAAAGAGCACAAATGTCCATCGATGGATGAGTGGATAAAGAAGATGTGCGTGTGTGTGTGTGTGTGTGTGTGTGTGTGTGTATATATATATATATACACACACACATACATACTTTCTTGTATACACACATACAATTGAGTATTACTTGGCAATCAAAAAGAATGAAATCTTGCCATCTGCAACTATGTGGATGGAACTGGAGGGTATTATGCTGAGTGAAATTAGTCAGAGAAAGACAAATATCATATGACTTCACTCATATGAGGACTTTAAGAGACAAAACAGATGAACATAAGGGAAGGGAAGCAAAAATAATATAAAAACAGGGAGGAGGACAAAACGTAAGAGCCTCTTAAATATAAACAACAGAGGGTTGCTGGAGGGGTTGTGGGAGGGGGGATGGGCCAATAAGGGGCATTAAGGAATCTACTCCTGAAATCACTGTTGTACTATATGCTAACTCACTTGGATGTAAATTAAAAAATTAATTAATTTAAAAAAAAGGAGGGCACTTATTGGGATGAGCACGGGGTATTAAATGTAAATGATGAATCACTAAATTCTGTTCCTGAAACCATTATTACACTATATGTTAACTTGGATTTAAATAAATTGAAAAAAATAAAGAAATAGTTCAAAATTTAAAAAAAGTATGTAGACTTCTCAAGTATACTCAAGAAAGATAATAGTATTAGATGAAGTTGACAACTAAAAAAAAAATATTTCAAGACATATACATAGATGTGTTATACTATACAAACTTAACCCCTAATCTGCGTATCTGCCAAAATTTAAGACTCCTCAATGTGAACTGATTAAAGCCTACAACAGAATCAGTACCTCTCAACGATTACAAATAAGTGAACAAAGACAGGACTTAGACATTCTCAACAGCACTCATTTTTCTTTCTTTTTTTTAAAATTTTTTAATGTTTATTTATTTTTGAGAGAGAGAAGAAGAGCATGAGCAGGGGAGGGGCAGAGAGAGGAAGAGACACAGAATCTGAAGCAGGCTCCAGGCTCTGAGTTGTCAGCACAGAGCCCGACATGGGGCTCTAACTCACCAGTCTTGAGATCATGACCTGAGCTGAAGTTGGATGCTTAACTGACTGAGCCACCCAGGTGCCTTTCTCAACAGCACTCTTAATCCTTGGTGTACTATTAGGATCCAGATGGACCAATTTCAGTTTCTGAGGATTTTTTTTTTTTTTTTGAATAGCTAGAACCATTTGTAAAGATTGATTTTTTCATGACTTTTATTCTTACACCGCTAAAAAAGAATAAAAGTCATGAAATAATAATCTTTATAAACTGTTATAACTTTGATTTTAAGATGAAGTCTAAAATCCTTAACATTGCCTACTAGGGCTTGCCTGATCTATCTACTCCTGCCTACCTATCTAGTCTCAACTGGTACTAATTTTCTTTGTGCTGAGATCTAACTACAAGAACTTTCTTTCAGTTGCTAGATACTCCATTTTTTGCCTTACAGCTCCATCTGCCTAGAATATTCTCCTATTGCTCCCAACATCTATTTAGTTCCTATCATCTTTCAGATACTCTACATGTCACTTTCTCAGGGAATCCTTCCATAAGCCTTTCCCATTTCCTCTCAGTTTAGATTAGGAAAAACAAGATGGCAATATCAGCCTACTAGTTATCAAGACTCTTTATTAAGTTAAAGAAATTATTTTAATAACAAAATAATTAACATTTGAGCTTTATTCTTGGGCCAGGTGCATATTTCTAAGCACTTTAATATATTCGTTCATTTATTCCTTTAACTACCCAATAATGTAGGTACTATTATAATTTCATAGGCACACAGAAATAACTTGCCCAAGGTTACAAAGTTAGTGCCAGATCTGTGGGTAAAAAATGTGATCATGGCATAGAGAGAAGCAAAGACACCAATGAAAACAGCACAAAGAAACAAGAATTGGACTCATGTGTATGTGGAACTATGATATATGCCAAAACATGATTATGAATAGTGGGGAAAGATCCGGTTAAATGTGTGGGGAAAAAAATTGGAGCTTTACCTCACATATGCAGTCTGTTCTACTCTAATGTTTGTTTTGAAAACTTGAAAATGTTAAATGTATTTATATACTAAACATGATTAATATATTTGAGGACAATAGCACAAATTTCAGTATATGTTAAAGCACTACTTTAATACACAAGCAGGGCTGGGACTAGGGTAAGGCAGGTAAGATGCCTAGAAACCCTAATAGGAAGCTTCTTCAATTCTGCCCCATAAATGCCTAGACTGCTTTACCATAGTCCTAACACTGAAACACACACAAGGTGATGTAGAAAACTACTCAGCTGCACTGAACGGCTTAGGAATGCACAAAGCACACACACTTCAAACCTTCATGTGTGTTATGAGTCACATTTGCCACATCTGCTGTTAAAACTTCTTGGCAGATTCCAGGGGCGCCTGGCTGGCTCAATTGGAAGAATATGTGACTCTTGATCTCAGGGTCGTAAGTTCTAGCCCCATGTTGGGTGTAGAGATTACTTAAATAAATAAAATTAAAAAACAAAAACAAAAAATCCCACAACTTCTTGGCAGGTTTCAGAAAACTTTCCTTCCAACTCTCCACAATAACTCACAAGCTGCAACCCTTTAAATCCTACTTCCGCAAGTCAACTTCATCATTTTCAAAAGAAAAATGTCATATTTATTATGGTAGTTCTATATTTCTTAACAATTTAACATATGTA